ATTCATTTTACAATAAATCGATTGCTCTAATTTAGTATTCCAAACAACTTATAAATTTGTAATACTACGATAAACATAACAGCAACAAATTAATACACACTTCTTCTAACAAAACGTTGCACGCTTCATAGCATAAACTGGAAGTGTTTGAAACAATACCACATACTATTATTCGAAAATAAGATTGACAAAAGTCGCTTTTTAAATAGCTAATTAACCCTTCGGCAATATGTTTTTCACTAACACGCTCGGCAATGTGGACCTTTTATGGTCTGACCTGATTTATTATTGTTGTGAATTCTGTAAAAATTTGAAAAAATTCTAAGATATATATCGTAGTCCTTACTTCAATATACAAATGACACTGTAGCCAAATCTTCATATTATTTTGCAATAAAAATTAAAAATCGACATGAAGTCATGAAAAAATCAGATTCTGCTTACAGGAGCATAATTTTGTAATAAGCATTTTACGGTTTTAGTCATAAAACTATGATCTATTGACAAAGTGTGAAGAGTTGTCAATCCTTAAAAAAGTATAATTATTTTGAGACTTCCATTTGGGAGATTTTTGAGTAGTTATATCAGTGGAAAATGAAGTAAAATATTAATGTAGTTCAAAAAATAAAATTGTAAATGATCGGTACTCCTCGCAGACCACCGTTTTATTTTGGATACTTCTAAAACACTAACGCGTGAGGCAATATCGACCATTAAAGGAAGAAAAATTATTTTATCCTCTTAAAACTTGAAATTGAACTGACCACGATGAACGACACTTGGGGTGTCTAATCTCTAGAGGTACAAGGATGTTTACCTGTTAGACCCAGACAATCGGATTTCTCTGTTTTGGAGAAACTAAACAATGAAATTTTTGATAGGACCATAAATGGTCCATATTAGGAGCGGAGGATTAATTGTACGTTCAACTCTGTACCGTCAAAATAGGCGTATTTTTACATTATTTATGGAACGTAAGTAATCAATTCATTTTATTCAAAATTTCGTTGATATTTTAGAATTTTCGCAGGGAAATCGAATTTCATAAAATTGACAAGTGTTGCAGAAACGCACATTTTAAGCAACTTTTTCCTTTCATAAAAGTAGTGATATCTTTTGGCTTTCCAGATAATTGCAAAAAACTTTTACAACCACTACATTAAAATTACTACGATTTTCTGTAGTTTTATGTAGGTACTTTCCTTGACTTCCTACTTTACAAGGTGTAGGTGCTTCGCCCATCCCTTGTCTACGCTTTTACGTTATAATTGCCAAAAATCCTTCCACTTTGAATCCGACGACTTTTCACTAAAAGAGTTCGAAATTTGAATAACTAATTGTTACCAATTTAAAATTAAATGGATTTTATGTGAGTATTCGTTGTTTTCGAATAATATTAAAATAATATTCACAATGGACCAATTCCCATGATAAGTTTTAAAAGACAAAAATAATTTCAGTTAATACAGTATAAAGTATGATCAAAACTTTCGATAGATGTAACATTAGAAAAAGGTAGTAGCACGTATTGCCTATGATCGAAAAATACACAATTATTTTTTAGTTATTTATTATTATATTCAGTATTGCAGAAGTATATCAGAAATATTTAATATAGTAGTATTCTTTATAATCATTCGGTGGGAACCTACAGAATTGAAACTAAGAAGAAAAATTTTCAGAACAAATTTTAGAACTTTACAATTTTAAAATAGATAATTGGCCTTTGAACTCTGTAATGACATTCACAGTATATTTCACCAAATTTTACTGTTAGATGAACATAAGCATGATGTCTCAATATTAAGCAGCGGCAATCTTTTAAGCGTTCGGCACAATGATTAAGATACTACGAATGTTTATACTTTATTATAAGAATTAAACTAGGAGATAAATTTTTAAAATGTATTTATTCTCACATATTACTGATTTTTATTTTATAATCAAGTGTATGGAAAATTTTGCGTTTTTATTCAAACTGTTTTAGTAACTATAAACAATTTTCATCTTTACAATCATAGTGTGCCAGTATTTTAATTTAACACTGTGTAGAGAAGCTTCTACATATACTTACAATTAGGGCTAACACATACTCTATAATTGTAAGAGCTAACAAATTATAGACTTTTAAATAATACACTTATGGTTTTATACATTTTCAGGTTCCCGTTAATCTAATAATTTATTTAAAACATTTTTAACAGTAAGGCATTTATCGAAAGTTACAAAGAATTGAATCATTATTATTAATACTACTCTAAAATTTAGAATGGTTAAATATAGCAGAAATTTGAAAAATTTCAATAAATTGCTCAAAATTGTCATATAATAAAACAACTGGTGTCACATAAAACAGCACAGTTAATAAAATAACCATTACTATTATGAAATTTCCTATTTTCGTGTGTTATGAACCCACAGTATTATGACTACAAAAGTACTTATTAAAAACAACAAGTAATAAATACAAAAAATATTTAAACACGTACCCCATCTGGTGAGATGAAAAGTAAAAAACATTTTTAAATACCAGATTCTTAAACTTAAGTAACTTTTCATAATTATTGTTAAACATGGTTTATGAAGAAATATCATATATTGCATACCGATATAAGCTGCTTAATAAACATGTGAAACAAATTTTTATTATCAGTCTTTCTAAATATGTTCCTTGATTCGTGTATTTTCATTAATATTCTATCTAGGATTAACGTTTTAAAGCAAACCACTTACGTACACCTATTGTATATTATGTTCACTAGTGAACTTCAATTTTTATGTTCTCGTATTTAACGAAATAAATACCATATAGTTAATAATAAAAGATATTACGGAATTTTCAGTATGTTGTTTACCATCGGGAAAAATTAAATATGGTCCCAACAATCCAGTTACTGCCAAAAAATATCTTCTATTGATAACTATATAAGGAATTATATAATACCCAGGAAAGGTAAAAAAATCTATATTTTTCTTAAATACCTTAATTCGATAGTACAAGCTTTTAATCGTATTCTCTGAATGATTCAATAGAAAATTCTCAAAGTTAACGAGAATATAATGTGTGAAAGCAAAAGATCGGACGATCGATTATAGTGTACACCAAAACTTCCAACGAGTTTTTCTCAAAATTATGTTTTTAAAAACGATAACTATTGTATCTCAGAAACCAATGGTCCAATTCGCTTCAACTTTGGTACAAGTAATCTTAATACAATTGCTTAGTTTTTATCATATGGATTTTTCGTGAAAAATGCGATATTTACATTCAGATGTCCTTGACTATGCGAAAAATTAAAGAAATAAATTGCATGCGATAAGTACTCAATCTGTTTACCTACTTTATATATAATTTGTTTTTCATTCGTTTTAAATAGAAATTCCAGAAAAAAAATGTTTTATCAGAAAAGCTATTTTTATTAAAGTCGTCATATGAAAATTGTTTCCACATATTTCTTTCTTCGAATTTTTCTATAAAAGGTTTATAATTTATAGAGGACGGTATATACTATTAAATGTATAAAATGTTTTTCCAAGATTGTCATTTTCACCTCTTCAAAAATGGTCAAATGTAGCCTCATTTTTATACCTTCTGTACTCTTCATCTTTTAGAATACATCTTTTCATTCCCTATTTGAAAAGAAGAGGGAAATTTTCCTTTTCAGGGAGAAAGTATGATATTTTAAAAAAAAGGTTAAAATATTTGAGTACCTTCTTTTATTATACATAAATAATAATAAGTGCGGATTACCTCTCAGTAACGGAGACGCATGTCATTTGTTTATACACGCGGACGAATTACCGATATATGTACGGTTGGGATATGACTTGATATCGAAAGGAACCACACAGGGGTAAGAGGTATCTTTCTAGTTTACAGTTTCATAGTTTTGATTGGTTACATGTAATCGTATTGTAAATTAGCTATCGAAAATATCAGAAACTAGAAAATAAAACCAACAGAAAATTAAGCGAGAAAAGATGAAAACTGATCAATCGGTCGAATTCAGCCTAACAATCAAGTAATCTAATAGTACATAGATGGGCGCGCGAGTATAAACCATAGTCGATACAACGCATGGAAGTCGACGGCGTGGATAGAAACGACACTCCATACAATTTACTTATAGAAGTCGAAACAACATGTACAGGACGTCACTCTATAGATCGTATGGAACTCGTCGCTGAGGGGTTAAGCGTCGTCTCACTCGCGGGTTTAAGTGACAAATTATGCAGAAAAACAAATTTAACAGTTCTAAAATGATATATTCTTATTTTGAAAAAAATATATCGTCAAAGTTATCATCTGTTCGTATACATTACCGACAATTATCAAAGCCACGTAATAAATAAAACGAGCGTCGTAATCTTCTTTGCCATTCAAAACAAATACACCTGACCCTCAGTTTACGCGAAAGAAAGTCGCGTAGAGTCTGATGATACAAGAGAAAACAAAATATTGGAAGGAAAAGCTGGTATAAATTTTAAAAATACATATTTATTTCACATATTCGAAGAAAAGAAATAATAATAATGACATTTCAGAAAACAAAAGTACATTTTAGTCGGTGTTACTAAATTCAAATTACGCATAAAAATTACTGCGTAAAAAAGTTCTGCGTAACTCAGATCAGGTGTATACATATATAACAGTTAACACACTTCGCATACTTATACGTCTATATATACACATAAAGCTCTTCCTTAGAATACAAATTAAATTGATTTGAAATGTTTTCCTTCAAATCCATGGAAAATCAGACCTATCGGTGCCCCTAACTTCCTTAAAAACCATTAATAAAACGGTCAACTTCCATGAGCGTTGCTATTATACTTAAAAACAAAGAAAACTACCGGAGCGTGTAAATCGCCGCGATCGATACTTCGATCTATTGAAACAGCACGCACGAGTTGGACAAGAGTCATCAAAGGTGTAACTGAACGGCCATCGTAAATTTCATTTCCATGTCTCTCGGTAACGATTAACAAACGCAACTTACCCCAACTGCTCGCTGTTCTACCCATAAAGGCGCCAGTTTCAGGATTGTAAATGAAGGTCTTAAGAGACTGGCTCGTTGACATGCTGGGCGGCTTGAGATAGGGGTCCGCCTCTGGCGTGACCGTCTTCGGGTTCTTGCTGACCATCGCGTCGCCAGGTAAAACCGTGTTTTTTCAGAAAAGAAAAAAATGAGAACGGTTTACGCACTAATCACGTATCGAGTGGCAGGGAACGGTTAAAAGCGATCCGAACGAACATGGAACACAATGGTACGCGAGCGAGCAACGACACCGCAGGTTCGCTGCACCGAAACCGTGAGTTCCTCGAGGTCGGCTGGCAGCTCCTCCGCTGCCGACAGTTGGTTGTTCAACGCCACCAGGTTGACTAAACACGCTTCGTTTGTGCAGGCTTCTTCTCCGTCTCGTTCTCTTCTACGGGTTTTTTCCCGCTTTCTCTCCCCCACCACCGGCTTACCCATTCCAGGCCCCACTCCTACGTCGCAGGACTATCCAGTATTATGACGTGTCGGACTGTGCATGTATACGACCATGCCACATTCCGGTGTTGCTCATGTTGTCACTGTATTGGGTTCATGGTGCCCACCGCTGGACAAACGTCAGGAACGCCGATCACTTTTATGAGAACTTTCCTTGATATTCATATATTGCTGTGGATCCGACTTTATCGAATTAAGTGAATTCTCTTCACAGTGATGCCCGGACAAAAACATTAGACCGTCTGAAAGTAACATACAGTGGTTTCATGGTGTACGCTGTTTTCAATACTTCCTCATTAGCCACGCCTAAAGTACAGATCCTTTGTACTTGTTCTGTTTAGTGTAGTTTGGATTAAACCGGTTTTTCGTCGTTGGGTCGGATGGGCATGAAGATTTGAATGCTTGAAAGCAGTAATATGGATTACGCTCGTTTAGATATATGTATATATAATATTCGAGCTTCTAACATTATATTTTCAACTGAAGCTTAGATAGTATCCTAAGCGATTATCTTTAAAAAAGTTTAGAGATTATTAATCATTGCATAAGGATAAATAAAAATAATAATTAATACGGAAATGGAAAATTATTTTTAAAATGACGTTGATGCAGTTATTAAAACAGTTACATATTTAATTACTGTCACCTGACGGAACATTGAAGTATACCATCACTGAACTATATCAGATTCCATTATTATGACGTGGCAGGTAGTAAGCACCTGTCGATGAATGATGTGAAGAAGTAGTGATTTATTTCTAGGAAGACAAAATAAATTTTTTGAAACCTAAATAATTTAAATCTTAAATTAATTATCAGTATTAATGAACATTTACTTTTTAATACTAGACGATACATAAGACTACAGATTTCTTTAAACTATCGAAATCATTGTACACAATCAACGGTATGCAGTTATCTGTAGTGACATCTCTTGCATTAACCACTAGAGGGCTTCGAAGCTGATACGTCTCTCTTAGATATTCAATCCATTACCAATTTTCATATACATATATTTCCTTCAATGAAATTTTAAATATTTCTGCATGTAGGTTATATAGAACGATGGAAGTGTTTCTCTTTAATAATTAATTCGTTTAATTTGAACCGCCGAAATTCAAAGTTGTGTGGCGCAGCCTAGTGTCCACCTTTTAAACTAGTTCACGCGAATGGCCTATAGTAAGAATAAGAGTGGTGTTTCAGCTAGCTTTCGTTGGTTTAGTATTCTACTTATTATAATAGTGCTTTTTCACGCATAATTAATTATATCGGGCTTTAAAAATGATATAATTTTAAATAAATATCCATGAACACTTTAAACTTGTTTAATCTTCCAGGTTTCAAGCAAATAGATTACAAAGAGATAAATTACTACGGAAAATATTCAAAATATCCATTTATGTACCAAAACTGTCAATACTGAATTGTACATAAAAAAATGCAACAAAAGTGTACAGAACAAAGCGTATCATGTTAATCTAAATAGGCATAATTGTGGACTATTGATATATTACTAAATAATCCGTAGAACCCTATGATTTTATAATTTCGAAACGCTTATTTAATTACAGTTGTAATTTAAAAATTATACAGTAAATTATAATGAAATCCATTAAAAACTTAACTGTAACAGGCAGAAGTGTTTTGAATAATTTTAATTCGATTTTCTTTTTACCTATACGTATTCGGTTGCCAGTAACGATAACAGCTGATATTAATTCACCTGCATAACCTAGTCATTGGATAGTCATCCCGGTGAAGAAGGCTGCGAAAATGATTTCCTCGACTTGATCGCCGAGAAACAAATTGGGGGCTAAGGTCAGATCTCGTGTGTGTGACCTTAGTGCCTGGAGGCGACACGTGTGTGCGATTCACAGCACTGTACTATTGGTAGTTACCTCCTCCCTCTTTTTGTAACACCGAGATGAGTCGCGCGCAGGCATATATAATGTGAGTCACACACGACGACCGATCTGAATTAACCACATCCTGTCCACTATGTCGTGTGACATTAATGTCATTGCCGTGTGCTATTCGACTGAGAGTATCAGGCAAAATAGGCGGAAGAATCGTCTTAAATGTCTCGACCTCGTGCGACGATTTTCTCTTAAAAAATAGAAATTGCGATGTGACGCCTATGAGCCGCATGTTTTATAAAATTTATTGGCCAGACAGCTAGTAACCCTGAGAGTATCAAAATTCCCAAGAAATTAAAACTGACAATTTAGAAGTCTTATTGAAAGAGCCTTTAGCGAGATGGTATTAATAATGGTATCCATTAATTTCAGACAATTATAAATTCTATGTGATACGTCGATTGTAGTTGTCTATCCGTTTCGAATTAAATTGAAATATTAAATAGAAATCAGTTATTTATGGATTCATAAATTGGAATCCTTATTGATGTATTATATTATTGTGACATACAATTATTAGTGGGATGCACTGTGTACATGAAGTGGCTACTGATTCCATCCTTGTCTACTAAGAAAACTTGCGAGAAACAACATTTACCCGTTCTTTAATATTTTCTTAATTCGGAAATTTATTAAAGAATTCTTTTTATCCATAAAGTATGTTCTTTTACCATGTAATTCAATGTTTCCTTTATCAGCACCTGAATAGTAAAAACGATCATTAAAATAAAACTTTGATGGAAAATGATGAATCGTTAATGGAGAATTCTGGAAAATTAAACAAAACTTATGGAAGTTTTAGAAAAATATAATCCCTTACTGAAGAGGAACGGCTCGAAAATAGAGAGCCTATTTTGAAGACAATTGCTCCATATTTATTTAATATTAAACAAAATATGTAAATAAATCAACCTTCGAACTTTCTTATCACACATTTACAAAAAAAACAACGTTATCTGCATTTTGGATAGTTCCCTTAAGTCGTTTCATTTCAATAGACACTACGCAAATTTATTCAAACATACAAAACAGGTATTCACGATTGATGATCCTGAATCGAATGAAACAATTTTATATTTCAATTCGTTTCCTCGAAATATTTATTGTTCACTACTAAATTATTTCCCTAGGATAAAAGATTTTTTTTAAAGAATTTTTTGCAAATAAATATTTCAAAAATACATATTTGAAAGAATAATATTCGTCACAAATATTCTTCATTTGTTAAAACATTGTCTCTTGAGAATAGTTCTAAATTTCACCGTTCTTATAATGTAGAGGTCATTAAAATCAGTAACAGTATGCTCTGTCGATTCTGCAGATCTCTGCCGATGAGTATATAATTCACGAATATTCCTTGCGAATATAATGTCCATAGAAATATTTCATTAAAGGAAATGTCTACTCAGATCTCAGGAGATCCTTAGAATCTCCATACCACTTTACAATTACAAAAAACGATATTTTTGAAGTCAGTAAATATTGCTAAATCTAACCTCTTTAGATACGTATTCTTTCCATTATAGCTTGATATAGTTCGCTGTTTGAACGTCCCTTGAAGTAGAGTGCGCTTGTGTTATAAAATATTGTCGATTATATCGATAGTACAGACCGGTGGACAGTAACTTCTGGAGTATACAATTTAATGTTTACTCTCCACATAAATGATGTATACCAATTTGAGCATAAAGTAATGATTATTTATCTCCTTGATTTCAGACTATATTAAATCCTCCATTTTTATAGTGCAGTTAAGTTTAAATGATTCTATATAACAGTTTTTCATTTTATAAAATGAGAACCCTTGAAAATCGATAGATCGATTATTCGAGTATTCCGCTCGTTTTCGTTATATCTTACAGGAACAAAACGCAACTGTGCGTCGATTCGCATTTGTCTCCATTATTTTTATATTCAGTTTGCAGCGTTTACAATGTTTTACTCGGTGGAACTTCTCTCCCTTCGACGTAAGGGAAAGCTAGCTCGATGCTGGTTAGCAGCCACCAATAGCGAAAAAATGTTTAAAAAATCTGTCAAGTCGTCAACCATTGAAAAAATGGATGTAGCCGTAATTTGGTAAAGACTCTTTTGTATATTCTACACGCACTTGTTCGTGAGCCTTTAGTTTGTCAATTATTTTAACTACATTAACGATCGTCTATTACTTCTTGAATCTTTCAACATATTGAATATCAGAGAAGGCATATCCGTTTTAATATATTGTATACAGTGTGCCTTAGTAACTCTATTACAGTGCAACATTTCCGTCATTTTTTATGTTACGCAAAATGTTGCAGACACAGAGTATTTAATTTTAGGAGATACATGTTATAGTCTAATTAATTTTTTTCTTCAAGGTCATATTTTGCGAGATTTCAATATCATTACTGAGTTTTTATGTATAACTATAGATTTCGATTATTATAACGTTATAATTATCAAGTCAAATACATTGACGTATAATCTCGTAAGTTTAGAATAATTTCAAATGCAAAAGACTTAGAACCTTCTAGGGCTGACATGAAAAATACCAAAAACGAATTTACGATAATTCCAATATTCATAATTTGAATTTGGTATCACTAATACGTACCTTAATACCAAACATTAACATATTTTTATTACGTTGCTCCCGCAGATAATGTAATTTCAACAGTATTGGTTATTGAATGCTTAAACATCTGCCTATTGCAGTTAGTTTATTATTCTCATTATGTCTCAGAACTTTCTAAATTGTTTGCATTCAAGGTCACTTTAAGGTTACGATATATAGACGAGTAGTTTTGTCTCTGTCTATGCTATTATCATATATATCTTAAATGTATTAAATCTTACAAAATATGACCTTGAAAAAAAGTTATGTGCACTATAAAACACATGTCTTCTAGAACTGAAGCATTCGCGCCTCTAATATTTTGCATGGTATTAAAAATAACGCAATCAATGGAACATCCTATACATTGCAAATTTTTACAAAATTGGAGTTTCTATAAGAGAATCCAATGTTACGATAATCAGTATGCCGTAAGTGACTCGCAAATAACAGTAACTTTGAGTGATCAATGCTTTCAATCTTTATAGTAACTTTATATTACATATTCATTATATAATCAAAAAAATTCATTTCATTGAATTTCAAATATTATAATCAGATTCAGTGTTTGCGTAATGTTAATTATCAAATGAAAATATTAATTCGCTACATTAATTTTATTACTTTTTACAATAAGTTATTATAAAATATTGCGATCGGAAGTAATGTTTGCATTACATTAATTTGCAAAAAATAATCGTACATTTGTTACTGGTTTTATCGGATTTTTTAATCTTATTATTTATCACATTTCCAGTGAAGAAATATTATCAAAGATTCAGGTACAAAGTAACAGGATCTACAATAGATTCAGTTTGTACCTTTCCTCCCAATTAATGTACGGTGCAACGAAAATACTTTATTATCAAACAAAACAACTCCAAGGTAATTCTACCGCAAATTATAGAAAAGTTAGAAGATATTGTTAATATTACTTTTTCATAAATATCGTCATTATGGAGGCAATATTTGTATAACCATAAGAAAGTTTGTGATTATTATTTTTTATTATTCTTTTACATAGCAAAGAATAAACGTATTTTCTTTTTTGTTATAGATTATTTATTTACAGCAAATTGGAAAATATTTTTAATAAACAGGTAATAAGGGTATACAGAATATTTTCTTAAATATTTTTTAATCTTTTACGTAATTATAATACGAAGATGTCTTATTTTCACTACTCTAAAATTATTGAAACCATCGCGTAAAGAATAAATGTAATTAAAAAGAAATATTTTTAACTTAACCCTTTGGTTTATAACAACGTGTCACATTCGTGGTGAAGATTTTAAACAAAATTTAACAAACTTAAATATTTCTCGATTCTTGTGACTTCAAATTAAGTATTATTCTTCTGTTATCGATTACTACATTTCAGAATAAAGATGGACGTAGAATGTGTTTAGAATTTTTATTTTTTTCAATAAATTATAAACAACAAAGTGGTTGCGTTGATCATAGTTAAGGAATAAGTCGCAAGGCAAGGAGTTAAGAGACAATGATTTATTATTTTATATAAAACTTTAAATTGTTAGTAATTTTAAATACATGATTATAAAAATGATTGCAAACACATGAAATTTTAGTCGAAAAGCACCGTTTATGGTAGAAATGATGTTAGAGGTACCAAACTTACCTCCTGTAACCGAAGTATTCTACGACCCAAATAGGGCGATGGACAAGCATTTAATCACAGAGGATCCTTATACGTCCGTTATCGAACACCAGGTAATTATAATTAATTTATCCGACTTGTTTTACTCTAATCTAAATTTTTTTATATTTTAATTGTTTTATTACGTATATAGATGCAAGAAGAATTGAATTTCGGAGCATTAACCGATTATGAGATGGAAAAATTCCTTCTCCTACTCCAAACGGATGAACAGTCCCTGTTAGTTGTCCACATTTCCATGAATTCCACTTCCTTGCATTTTGAATTCCAATCAAAATCAATGTTTAATTTTATACAAAATTGTATAGACGAATGAATGCATATTTAAATTTTGTGGATGCATGAAAGTATTATAATATATTTTCCTTATTCCTTAATTAGCTTTATCAAGTTTTTGTTTCATTTCAATTAATTATTACAGACATTTTCCTAATTTATTTCTCTCGTGCTTGTTAATATTTATTGGATTATTTGTATCTATTGCTTAGGAACGAAGTACGGAGATTTTGTAGAGATTCGTCACTGGTTCCTCCAATTGATCTTAACAATCTTGAAGAAACGAACGAGATAGAGAAAGAAATGCAAGCTCCTTCGACTTCCCGGGAAGAAGTATTGGTAGAAATAGAAGGTCGCCAAGTTATAATGCATATTAATAATTATTTTTATAAAAATATATGAAAACACACATATTTATACTTATAAATGTTACTCACTTTTAAAAATAATTTTATTCAGATGCCGAATTTAAAAGTCCTGTTATACCCAGAAAAAGAAAAACGAAATCGTTTACAGAAACTCCTTCAAAAAGAAGAAAGGTATTTTACCAAAAAGTTCAAATCCTTTAAAGATTTGCATTAAATTAAATTTTCAAAATTTGTATCAAAGAAAACTGTTTAAAAGTGTTTCAAATCTAAAGACAAACTTTATATTCCTTTATTTACTTTCACTATTTTTCTTAGTACCTAATTTTCATACTAAGTTTTCATGAATTTATAATATTATTTTGTTATTCTTTTAGAAATATTATGTATTAATAACATTTCTTAATATTCTCATTTTCAGTTGGACTGAAAGAAAAATATTTATTACTTTTAATTTCTTATTGTGCAGATTAGCTTAGTAGAAGAACCGCTGTTACCTGTAGATGTACCATTACAAGTACCCCAGGAAGCACCTTCATTAGTAGCGGAAGAGCCGTCCATGCCAGCACTTCCAGAAGCATCTGCTATAGCACCTCAAGAATCCTCAGTTCAAAAGTCTATGCTCGTTCTCGAAAGAGAAATATCGGATCAAATAGCTCCCATTACTGAGGATATAACAGTAGTACTTCCATCGAGACCAAAACAAAGAAAAATTTTCGACGTGGAAACTAAGTTGTCTGATGCTATAATGCAAAAATATATCAGAGACGTTGCAGCACATACCATGGTAAAGCAGTTTAATTACAAAATTGTAAATATATGTAAATTTGAGAATGAAAAATGAATATAGATTTGTATGGGAAAACGATAAATAATTTCATAAATTAGTGAAAGAAAATCTTATTCTAACAATAATAGGTAAATTAAGATGTATAGAAACAAGTATTATCGTCTAATATTATTAATTAATTCAAAACTATTTTCTTAGAAGCATACAAAGTACGCCGCAACATTACCTTCACCCATGGAATATTTGAAACAACCTTCTACAAAGACCTCACACGGAGTATTGGCACAAAAATTGACTAAGTTCTACTCTGGACATATGACCACGCGACGCATAGAAGAAAATGAATATCCGCATTTAGAAATTGATTCCTCGTTCACTTCTATACATCGTAATATTTAGTTTTCTCACATTTATAAAAACATCAACATAATTCTATTCAACAATTTACATTCTAACTTTTTGAAGGACCTGTACGTGTCAATGGAAGTATAATACAGGAAAAAACAAATGAAATGTCAAGTGCAATTGCAATACCTCCCGCTGAAATGAGTGAACAGTCAAAGATGGTAGAGAATGCAAATCAGATCGAAGACATTCAAATCGAAGCTTTAAGACCGCCAATCGAAGAATCTTCGGAAGCGGTTCCAGAAATGAATGGTTTTAAAGAAAGAATTGGGTATGAAGTACTTAAATATTCTAAATTATGTAGAAATATATTTATTTTATTCTAAACTGATTGAAATTCAAATGATCTTCTCAGAGAAATTACTACATCATCACAAAAACCGTTAAATGGGAAAATACGTAAGAGTGCATCTAAAGCGAGTAGTGTATTTAGGTCAGTTTTTATTTTTTCTTAGTTTTGTATATTTTTAATTGATTATTTATAATATTTTATATTTTCTTTTTATTATAGTCTCACGGCGAATATAACTAAATCAGAATTAAAAGCATTACTGGAAATTCATTGGCGTCAAGGAACAATTATTAAGTTTCATGATATAATTTCTCCGGACACTTATACGAAGGTAGATGCCGCATGTGCATTTCAATACTGCTTAGGTAAATACAACACCTAACTAAAACCACAAAATATTATATTATAATTCTTAAACTATTTTCTTCCTTATGAAAACTGTTCAAAACTGTCTCCTTTGTTCAATAATTCTTTATATTTGTTACAAATTTTCAGAACTATACGCAGAGAAATATTTAATTTTGAAACAACGTGAATGCTTTGACACATTGTGGATTGAAAAATATCTCTACGGTTCTTCAGATTCTAGTGATGAAGATTTAATAAATACTCAGTTATTACAGATACAATAACTACGGTACACATTATATAATTTTAATTTTTTAAACCAAATATATTATTCGACATCTGGCTGTTTGGTCGACGCGTATTTTTTTGTTTTCGCGCCAATTACTACTTATTCTTAAGTATTGTTAAAACGCGGTAAAGCAACTTTGCTAAGCATTCTTTATCCCAATGTACTAATACAAAGTAAAGTGTTTCTCAAAAGAGGAATGGTCATAATTAATAACCTAATAAAAATAAATTGTATGTATTATAATATCTTACTATAATTTAATATACTTTTTCAATACAAATATTAATATAATAATAACGTATATGTTTGCAAAATTTTCTTTCACAAAAGAATAATTTTTCTCAAAAATTCCCAGTGTACATTGTATACATAGCATATATAACGTCTATTAATGCACATAAAAAGATATTAATCATATTATTCTTTTGTGAGGCAAATAAAAATACCTATGTTTCCGAAAACTACTTAAATAACAGAAAGGGTTTAATCCCTTCGCGCGGGACAACAATTTCTACATTCACTTGCAACAGCTAGATTATTATAGTCAGATTTTATTAAATCAAATATAGGATTATTTGTATGTTATACGTAAAAAACATTATGTACAGAGGTTAAAGTCCAAAACTTTCTTTAATTTCTGCTAGTACAAAAATTATCCGAAAATTACTTTATAACGTGCGCAGGACGAATCAAGCGTGTTTTCCCTGCAATAACGCTTGCTAACCATGTACAATACCGCTACGAGACTACCCGACCGCGCGGCAGTGCGACCGAGGAAAGTCCCAAAACTTGCTTAAACACTTCCGTGCCCAAAGTGGCAGCGTCAGGGGAGTTTTTCCCCCGCCACATCAAGGCGGGCCCAAACAGAAAATTCCACCCTGCACAGAAAAGGTAACGCCTTTTCCTGAATTATATACACGCAGACATTTCCGAGACATGCTTCCTAAAGTCTTAACTCTTCCGGCTGAGATTACTGTCTTTGTGTCTAAACGATTCATACTGTTCACGTCTAGTGTGCCGAGCATAGTTATTTGTTAATAAAACACGTTAAAGAACACGCTTATAATTTTAGTAACTCCTAACCGTTACAATGAAATTTTTGCTTTTTTAAATGAATTTTAGTACGCATATTTATGTACAATGGCAAGGGCACTAAGTGGGTGCCCGCAGGCATTCTAATGATGCTCCCTTCACAAAATGTTACCCTTTCTTTGCCTAATACTTCTACCTATTTTTATTGAACATTACATAAAGCTGCTCACATACACAGTCTCCAGCAGCTCCTAGAGTAGAGGTAGTGGGAAAATGTTGATCAAGAGTTACTAGCTTGGGGGGAGGCAGTCTGACTGCTCTGTTTTATGGTCTTATATCTCTAGAAACAAAAGTGTTGCCTGAAAGCGCAAAGGGTTAAGCGTTCTTTTCAATACTTTTCAGTTATAATCTGTTCAAATATTAAAAAAAAAATTAGATTTACACGTTTCATAATAAATAATTATGTCAACTTCAATCAAAATATGGTGCTTTATTTATTATTCGTTATTCTTTATTCATGTTAACGAAGATATTAACGTTATAAACTTATACTTATATAGTAATGAGTATATTAACATTGCCATATTAAAAACTAAATTAAGCCTTAACTAGTGGGGTAAATTTTGAGTCTACGTAAACTGTTTTAAACGCACTTAGAAACCGGTCGTTATGGTCAACTTCGAGTTTAACGATTTTTGTTAGCATGATTTTTGTTACAGAAGGTTTAATGGGTAATCTTAATAGTATTTCTTATGCTGAGTTCGAATATTCCATTCGTTTTTCTCCATCATCCACAGCTTTTGAGGAAATCAATTTTGAAGAAAAACACAATTTTTCAACTTTGAACATTTATTGTGTCTTAATTATGAAAATTTTTCAAATTTTTCTTACACGGTATTATTCTATACGACCTTCTTGAACACAATGATGTAAATTTTAATGACATTACAAACATTTAAATATATTTAAACTGCGCCGAAAGGCAAAACGACGCTCGAAACGCACCGATTTTTGTATTGTTTAAATACATTTAAATGTTTATAATGTCACTAAAATTTACATCATTGTGTTCAGGAAGGTCCATAGTGTGAGAAAAGTTTGAAAGATTTTCATAATTAAGACACAACAAATGTTCAAAGTTGAAAAATTGAGTTTTTCTTTAAAATTGATTTTCTCAAAAGCTGTGGACGATGGAGAAGAACGGATTGAATATACGAATTCAGCATTAGAAATACTATCAAGATCAACCATTAAACTTTTGGAAAAAAAATCATTAAATTTTGTAGATCAGTGAAATTATTTCAGTTATCATCATAATGCATAAACATAATAATATAAATATAATGTATAAATATGAACCGATTTTGTAAATATATACATATTATCCACAAGGGTCTTTGCGTCTAAGCTCTTATTACAGTTACGGTAATCTCTGTAACCACCCCAACAAATGTCAGTTAAGCTATCCGTACGAATTAATTGAAACAAACGGTATATGTAATCTGTTAGACGAAGAATAATTGATCGCGATGATCACAATTTCAGCTCGCCGATTTCCACTTCTTCTTTAGGACTCAGCATCGACGTAGAATTGGCGGAGACCTCGCGATCCTGTGGCTCGAAGTCGACCTCGAAATCGTCTAGCTCGTTGTAATCGTCATAGATGTCCAGGTCCGCTATCGCCCCGTCGACTTCAAGGGGCACTAAATTGGTTTCGTTCTGGATTACTCCCAAAGAGCTCCTACCGATAGCAATATTCAGGCAGTTGAAGTGCAAGACCAGAATTGCCTTTCCAGTGACACGGGTTTCCAAGTCAACGCATCCCTGAAGATTTTTTCCTTCGATGCGCAAGTTGTAAATACGAAGGCAGACTTTCGCGGCGGAAATTTTGGGCACTTTAATGCACAGTGGTGGAAGGTCTTTAACTGCAATGATAATGAAAACAGAATGTTTAATAAAATTGTACGAAGCTGTATGATAATATTTCGGTTCGATGTATGGAAATTTTAATCACAGAAAAATTTATTTATTTTATTACATCTGTTGGTATCATTTGGTAACAAAGAATGTAATAAAATTTTCAGAACGCTTAAAATATTAATTAACTGTGCTGTAACATTTGTATGTTGTGAAATACTCTGAATTTTCTATTTGTTTCCAAATAGTCACTTACTGGATACCGAAGCTGAATAGATCTGTTTGTCGTTCAGGTTCAACGACAGGCGAATAGCAGAGTCCTTGGGAACTAAGGCAAGTTTTATGCATGCATTCTGGTTAAAATGAATTGATTTGATTTTGATGCCGGCGCAGCAAGAGCATTCAAGATTCTTGCAACCGCAAGACAGGCCTCGATACGAGATCTTGGACGGCACAGAATTTTCCTCCAGTGTTGGCTTCAGGCCGACTCCAGTTTTTGGGTTATAGTAGGCGGAATCATATTCGGAGAGATCTGTTAAATAAAATTATGACATACTACAAAGAAACAAGGTGTATCAGGATTTAAAATGGTATTATGTTAGCTCATACTATAAGTAATGTCTCAACCCCTTGTCTTATAATAACGTGTGAGATTCGTGGTGAATACAAATGAAATATTATCCTTTTGTTATCAATTATTATAATTTAAAGCAAATATGGCCATATAATATACCTAAAATTTGTCTCTCTTTTCAATAAATTATTAATGGCAAAGCAGTTGTGTCGATCATAGTTGAAAAATAAATCGTAGGATAAGGGATTAATTTAACTCTTACGTCTGCAATATAAAATGATGATTCCGTGGTCAGACTTTTGAAGAATATATTAAATTTTATTGTTATTATTACAAGCAAAGTAATATTTTATGAATTTAATGAAAAAAAAGGTGATGTATGACTAGAAAATGGTCTAATGTTAAAGTCTGTAGTTAGAGCTTGCTGCTTATATTCATACATTATTTTCGCCATAAGAATGGTCGTATGGAAATAAAGTAAATTCACATTATTCCTTTTTTGTCTATCTTTCGATACTTAATAACTGCTCTGATACCACCGATCTGTTAAATTTCGGAGAAAATCCGTACCAAGATCAATTGTTGTCAAGAATATTTATTTGTGAATGGAATTGTTGTGAAAAAAAAGTTTAATAATTATACGTATATAATTGTGTGAAAAAATGGAAGAATTATGCCAAATAGAATCCGCAAAGTAAGTATTTCATTTGTACATGATAAGTGATAAGTAAGTTACTGATGTTAACACGTTTTTGTCACACTGAAACATAAAAAAATAACGCGTTAGAAAATGGTATTGTATATATGCATTTCATTTTATTTTACTACATGTGCCATAAGGAAATAAAAAATAAGGAGAAGTACATAATAAAATACCATTTTTTAGCACTTTCTTAGAAAATATATTGAGGAAATGGCTGGTTCTATAAGAAAACGAAGATAAACATATTTATACAATACATAATTCATATATCTAAATAAATAAAAAATATTCAATCGTTCTCTTTCATCCGTCGTATGGATATATAGATATCCGGATATTTACCCGGTTCTGAGGAGAGCATATATTTCGTTTAAACGTTCATACTTTTTATTTTTTACTAGAATCTTTATTTATTAAACGTGTATTAACTCAAAAATGTTCGAAGAAAGAACATTTAAAA